TCAAATCCATAGGAATTATTACAATCAAACATGCAAAATATACAAATATCAATCCTAGGCTGAGAGGCAGAAACAGAGCAGTCCCGACACCTGAGGCCTGTCCCCTCTGCTGCTGGCACTGGAGCTTTTTAGAACTTTGTGCACCTCGTTGCAGCAGCGCAGCTCACCTGGGCAGGACTGGGCAAAGGAACACATACTGTAGCCATAACAATATATCTGTTTATTTTGGTTTTGTACCACTATAGTAAAGAAGATTAAATACATTCTTACTGTAGATACAGGAACCTTGCAATCTTGTTCAATCTTTGCCTCTGTTCACACAGTGCGGTCAGATAGTGTTGTCAGAGGTTATAAACACTCCAAGTGGTGACTTCTATGACTGTAAATGTTTTTTCATAAAGACAACAGAAGGTGCTAATAGTCCTACAAAGTATTGGGTTGCATGTGTTTGTTTTGATGTGTGATCAATGTGTACACACAATTGAGCAGTGTCTCGTTGGGTGTGTCCATTAAGGGAGAACAGCATATGTCACAATTCAGTCAGATGGGCTTCTGTCTCAGGGGTAATACACTCCCTACAACCGGCATTCACAGGGGAACACACACACACACACACACACACACACACACACACACACACACACACACACACACACAAAAGAAAAAAATGAATAAAGTTGTCCATAAAGCTTAACCCAGTTTACAAGAGAAAGAGACATGTGTCTGAATTGGTCGGTGGCATTTAATAACAACAGATATAGTTAAAGAGCATCTTGCAGGTTTTTTTCTTCTACATTTATGCTTAAACTTGCTTGAAAATTACAATTAAAAAAGTGAATGTAGGATTTGATATGTTTTACGAGACATAAGGGCAGGAATTCAGAGGGAAAGGAGCAATTTTGAGCTCTGCTCTTAAAAACGGCTTTCTTTTAAGGTCATATGTCAAAACACGTCATATTACATCACAAAGGGTAAACATCTCCGCTCTCTGACCGCGGGTATAGTTAGTAGTTGCGTTGAGTTGAGCGGTTGTGTTTTAGTGAGCTGGTATTTTTCTGTAGTTTTACATTGTATTTCACCATTTGTAATCATGATTGGTGCCAGTAGTTGTGTTTATGCAGGTTGCAGCAAATACAGCTGTCAGGACACTCGAGTCCACAGTAAAAAGGACTGGAGTAGCGTTCGTTCCTGGTGCGTTGTTGCATCCAGCCTCCCTGGCAGCACATACTCATCCAAAGAAACCAAGGCCTTTATCAGGAAACCGTATTACTTCTCTCTCTCCCCCCCCGCCGCCCCCGTGGTCGGCTCTCGTCTCTCTCCCCGCTGGCGGTACCACAGGGCACCGTAACAGAGTATGTTGGAAGTTAGCATTAGAGTAAGCGCCTGTGGTGGTTGTACTGCTCCAAGCCGTCTCTTTGTGTTTTGTTTGTGTTCCCTGTCTCTTGTTGTTTG